ATTATTGGACCAATCACCAAACAGCTTTTAAGAGGAAGAGAAACAAAACAGAAATGAGTGAAAATTCAAAATCTGCACTCCAGGGCTTCCCTGGTGGCACAGTGGTAGAGGGTCCGCCTGCCGATGCAGGGGACACGGATTCGTGCCCCGGTCTGAAAGATCCCACATGCCGCGGAGCGGCTGGGCCCGTGAGCCATGGCCGCTGAGCCTGCGTGCCCGGAGCCTGTGCTCCGCAACGGGAGAAGCCACAACAGTGAGAGGCCCGCGTACCGCAAAAAAAAAAAACAAAAGACAAAATCTGCACTCCACTCTCTCATTCCCTCCACGGTACTTATATTCCACAAACAGCCCATGCTATCTTCGAATTCTCTTTCTAACCTGCTCATTCCCCTATATGCTGACATCTCAAAGGACTAATAAGCCTCTGAAATGGACTCCTTCTCCATCTAGTTTTTCCCCACCCAGACACCACCACCTCCCACCAAACCATTCTCCACTCAAAGCTCCACAAAATCAAAACTGACCATGTAAATTATCCTATTTAAAAACCTCCATTATTTACCCAATAACTTATAGGATAAAGTATAAAATGGTTGATTTGCTCCTAAGTGCCAATCACAATAAATCTTTACCACTTACTGAACATCTCCATGCTTTTGCATATGCTTTCCCCTACAACTGGAATGCACTTCTCCCATTTACCTTTTAAGATCTATCTCAAATCAACTCCTCTACATTAAACACCCAAATCCCCAAACAGAATTATTCTCTCCTTCCTCTGTGCTCCCACAGCACTTTCCACTTATCATTTTAATACTTATTATAATGTGTTATAGTAATTACAGGAGAGAGTATAAGGTAGTGGCTAACAAGAGAAGCTTTGGCATAAGATGGATTTGGGTCCAACACTCAATCTTCCACCTAGTAGCAATACAGCTTTAGACAAGTTGGTTACCTCCTCTAGGGCTCAATTTTCTCATTAATAAAATTGGGATAACACTTGAGTCTAGTTTAAAGTGCTACAGTGAGTGCATTCAGCACTACCCATCCTTGAGGCTAGTCAACATTCAATGAACAGCAGCAAAGCTGAGGTGAAGATCACAATTATCTGTCTAAGACTGGAGGAGGATGTGGGATCTCCCCCCAACAAGAAAAGGGACTATGTCTAAAGTCATCCCAAGGGGATGCACACACCAAAATGTTTAATCACTTCTGGGTGATTTGGGTGATGGAATTACAAGCAATTTTTGTTCTGTTCCTTTGATTTTTTCTGCATTGAGTATATGCAACTTACTAAGAAAAAAGCTATAAGCCCTTAAATACCTGATCCATCGGCCTTCCCTCGTGGCGCAGTGGTTGAGAATCTGCCTGCCAATGCAGGGGACACAGGTTCAATCCCTGGTCCAGGAAGATCCCACGTACCACGGAGCAACTAAGCCCTGTGTGCCACAGCTACCGAGCCTATGCTCTAGAGCCCGCGAGCCACAACTACTGAGCCTGCGTGCTGCAACTACTGAAGCCCGTGTGCCTAGAGCCTGTGCTCCATAACAAGAGGCCACCACAGTGAGAAGCCCACGCACCGCAACAAAAAGTAGCCCCGGCTCGCCACAACTAGAGAAAGCCCGCGTGCAGCAATGAAGACCCAATGCTGCCAAAAATAAAAAAATAAATATAAAAAAAAGCTTAAAAAAAAAAATCTGATCCATCACCTAGAAGCAGCATCTAGCACGAAGTATTATGCTCTATAAATACTTGCAAAATGAAGAAAATTCTACAGTACATTTAGTTTTACAAGCAAGCATGTTTATATGCATTTATTTCTTTGCTTCTCATAATCACTTCTTGGGTAGGTAGGGCAGGTTATTATTATCACCCCTAGAAAATGAGGATGAGAGTTCAGAAACAACTAAACAGGGACTAGACTGGAACTTAAAACCAAAACTTCTAACTTCAAATACAGCGTTTTTTACTTTACTACTAAACAGTAAAAGTGAACTCCTACTCACATTCCCAAGTCAGAGAGCTAAATCACTTGTACACTATTTGAGAGGGAGCAAGCAAAGAAGAATAAAGGAATGTAACTTTTTTTTAAAGTTTCATTAATCCTTTCAAACAATGGGGGAAAAATCTGAGTACATAAGTGTACCAAATCAAACTGTTCGAGAAAGTCTAAGTAACCAGCAAAAACAGCAGGAGCTAAGAGCCCCAATATGTGCCAGACACTGTTCTAAACGTTTTACATGTATCTATTTTATTAATTTAATTCTATAAAACAGATAACTACTGTCTCTAGTTCACAAATGAGTAAACTAAAACACAGAAATTAAATCACTTGCCTAAGATAACACAGTAATTGCCAGATCCAAGTTTCAAAACTAGGCAGTTTTGAAAAAGATCAAGGAGTCAAAAAAAAAAACCTCCAAAATCTGGGGAAAGCAGTGATATATTTTATCTCAATTCAAAGGATCTATAATCCTTAACTCATGGAAAGAATAAAAGCCCTCTCTGGATTATTTGAATTTCTAATAATTAGAAACAGTTATTTTCTCTTGTCAAATATCATTATAAACCTATTAAAGTTGCTTTAACAAAAATATTCTACTTTCAACTACAAGAACTTTACAGCCCTATCCTACAGTAAGTACTTCTTAGCTTTGTAAAATAAAAAAGCTAAGACATTAGAGGTTTTTTTGTTTTCAGCAAAGTGCACATATCAAAAGAAATACACCACCTCCCAAAATGACAACTCCAACAAAAGACCACTACCTACCTTAGCAACACTACTCAAACCTAGTTACAATTTACAATCACATAGGGACTTTTAAAAAACCAATACATAGCACCCACTCCAGACCAACTAAATCACAATATCTGGTGATGGGTCTAAGTGTTTTTAAAAGGTCCCCCAAGTGATTCTAATGAGTAGTCAGGTTTAAGAACCACTATTCTAAGGAAATCCAAACCCTCCATATTATTACTTCACACAGAGCTTTTGCCCATAAAGGTCTGAAAAAGTATTCAGTCACCTTATTCAGCCACCTTATTCAGCCAATTTGCAAACAACCAAGAGAGTAAGATAAACAGGACCCTTCAACTACTAAAAGGGGTATTAATTATAAGCACACTTAGCCCAACAGATTAGACAAAAATCAAGGCAAAAGGATTCCAATGATAATGTTTTGGATAACAGGGTAACTTCAATTAACACATCAAATATGCCAATGACCAAGCTATTTCTATTTGTCAAACCCTATATTTTCCAATCTGAAATGACGCCAGGCTTTCTGATGGACTCAAGAGCCCAACAATTCCAAAAGAGCAACATTGAAACAACTGTCACCTTGAAACTGAAAGCCCCCAAATGTGTCATCTTTTAAAAAAGCTAAACAAAGATTAAACTCAACTTTAACGTTGTACAATTGCTGGGTAAATCTTTTTATGCTTTCATATAGAAGATACCCCTGAAAAGTCAATATTGCCGTAAGAACTCTGAAATTCAAAATTACATGCCTAGATGTTTGCAGGAACATTATTTGATGACTTGGACTGATAGAAGGCTACTTACAACCTTTATTCATCTCACTTAAAAAAGTAGTCATATTTTGCTGTTGGGATATTAATTTGATTATTGGTGCTGTTTTAGACCCTTAAAGGCTTGTTAGGGTAGGTACTATCTTTCTAAAATTTGAAAAACTCTGTAGCATACCTGTCCTCAAGCGTTTTGAATAAAGCATGTGGATCTGTAGTAGTAATTTTGAATAACACAACAGGATATTTTAATATTTGATTTTTGAAGCTTATTTAGTTTTCCTGTGAAACTGTAAGTAGCTAAAAGCACTGAATCAGTCTTAAAGCATAACAAGTTCCGATTTGATTCCATGCTTCACTGGTAACAGTGTCCCCAAAACACAGTATACCACCTGGACAACCCAGACTCCCACTACACCCAACTTGAGAGAATCTGTTTGCTCAAGTTAGCATAGCTCTTGTGAAACAGAAAGCCTTCCCTAAATGTTCTTACTCAAAAGCTACTTGTTACTGTTAACGCTACCACAAACAACCTACTAAGGCCTTGCAGTTCTATCAGTTTTAAGAATATCACCTGCCATATATCCCAGTAGAGTGCAACAAACGGAATCCAAAACCCAAACATAAAATGCCTTGCAAAGAATCTAAATAATTCTGTGTTCTAATCCGACGTTGTTTAATGTGAAAAGATTGAGAACTAAAAGCAAACGTACCAGCTACCTCACAACTGGACTACCTAGAAGACTTAATCCTTCCTTCATACTTGCACTTTTTCCGCCATAAACAACAGGAAACTCCAAAGAAACGGAAATAGAGAAAAGCCTAATTTTTCCTAAGGGGAATAACGGCATTGCTTCCACCACCACCCCCACAATGTGAGTGAACAAATGAAAAAGCAACGGGGGAATGGCACGGGGGGAGGGGCGGTTGGCGAGCTCAGCTGGAGTCCTATACCTGCCACCCAGCTCAGACGGTGCCCGAAACATCTGTAACGACCGCTGCAACAGGGAAACTGGGCTGTGGGGGTAAGAAGACCGTGGCCTGGGGGCTCAGAGTGGAGCCTGCACGCTCGGCTTCCTCCTTGGCCAACTCTTCTCTCACCTCCCAATTCCCATCCTCTCTATCCCACCCTGCTCCCTCCGTAAAGAAAAATACCCAATAAAACTGGAGGCAGAGAAGACAAAGAGGCAAAACGAGGCTGCAAGGAGCGTCCAGAACAATGGGGGACAGGGTGCAAAGCGAAACTCCCGAGGAGGACAATGAAGGGGGTGGAGAGGAACCCGGAGAGGCACAGAGGGAAACACCGCCGAGCCCGGGCCCCGCCAGCGGCGGACGCCTGGACTCGAGGCCCGGCCGCGCGGGCGGTATCACCCCGGGCGCGGCGGGCTGGGCCGGAGCGGGTGGGAGCGGCGCGGCCCGGTGGGGCCGGCGGAGCCTGCGCGTGTCCACGGGCTGCTGCCGGCAGGACTCACCGGCATTCTGATCTCGGGGCCAGAGGTAGTATGTGGCCGGGATCACGATGAGCCCCACGAAGGAGGTGAGGAAGTAGAAGAAGGTATTCCCGCTGTCATCGTACTGGAACTGCTGCCCCGCCATGGCACCCCCCTCCTCCGCCTCCCTCTTCTCACCACCGCCGCCACGACCCCGCTCTGCTTTCGAGCTCCCGGCGCCCCGGCCGCGTGTGGCGTAGCTCCTACGCCGCCGCCGCCTCTCCTCCCCGCCCCCACGCTACTCTCACGGACCCGCCGCCGCCACTGCCGCTGCGGTCCCAGCTCTCGCGAGAAGAGATAGCTCCCTCCCCGCGCGGTTTTTCCCTCCTCTGCCCCCCGCCTCTCCCCAACCAGCTCGCAGAGAGAGACGTGGCGCGCGCAGCCGAAGAACTCTGCGAGCTCCCGCCCTTAGCCCTGCCCGCTTAGCCTCAGCTCCGCCCCTCAAGCTCTGGTAGACCCTCCCTGAAGGCCCCGCCCCTACCCCTAAAGTCCCTCCCCCTCCCTCCTCAGTTTCCTTTCCCAGGGTCCAGCTCCGGGTCCTGAGGGTCGGTTTACAGGGTCCCAGCCGAGGCTTCCCGGCCGAGCAGTGGGCGCGGGCGGTTCACCTGACTGCGACCGGGGTCGCACCCATTCGAAGCAGAGGTGAGGCTTCCTTGCCTCCCCTGTCTCCCATCCCTACCCACCCTGTGCTGCGCTCTCACTTTTCAATTTCCCTGGTTGATAAGAATGTTTCCTTAAATTCCGGATCCGCTCCTCCAGTTTGGAAACACTGGTCGGTCAGAATAGGGCGGTGGGGAGGGATGGTGAGGCGTTTGGCTGTAGGGGTTTTTTGGCAAAGCAACGTTTGCTATTAAGAGACTGCAATCTACATTGCGCCCATTTTGCAGATGGAGATTCCCCAAGCCGGTAGAGATGATGACCTACCTATCCTAGAGCTAATAATATTTATAGCATTTTCTTCGACACAGGCAGTAGGCAAAGACCTTTATTGCTTTAAATCATTCAATGGTCGGCGAACCCCTTGGAATGAATCAAAGCATGCCCGCTCTCCAGATGGGGAAATGGAGGCTGAGAGAGATTGCCTAAAGTGAAGCACAATAAAGAAACGTATGGGGATTTAAACCCAGATCACGCTGACGCCACAAAGCCAGTGCCCTGACCACCGCCTCGTCGCCGACCTTCGCATTTCCCTGAGAGCGGCCTGCCCTCGCGTGCGGAGTGTGGGCAGGAATCCGCACTGCGAAGAGGGACGGCTCGGGGAGCAGTCGCTCTCCTTGGCCTCTGCCCTCGCCAGCTGTGAGATCCCAGAGGCTGGTGTCAGCTAAGCTGGGAGCTGAGGGGGCTGGTGCCCTGATCCGTGAATGACCCCCACGGTCCCGCGGCAGCCCTGGCTGGAGCCTATCCCAGCATCTCCACCTCCCCTCAGGGGATCAAAAGGAAAGGCCCGCCGAGTCACCTCACAGAGTCGTTGTGAAGATTAAAGGGAGTTATAGTGAAAACTGGAAAACCAATGCAATAAACAAATATTACACTGTATTTTTAAAAACTCATTTTAAGGCTATATAGTCTATTTACTAGGTTCCTTTCAATATGCCTTCCAGTGTTGGAAGAGAAATCTGGTCACATGTCATCTTTTATTTCATGTCCTCAAAAATATTATTTATCATAATCAGTGACGACTTCCTTTATAATAGATTATATTCACATGTATTCTGTCTTCCCTCTCAAATGTCCTAACTACCCATTTTGAAAGGAAATTTCAGAAAATCATTTGCTCTGCATTCCCCTCCTCACTTTTTTCTGTGTGAAGTTTTCAAAGACTATATTAGAGGGGAAGAAATAAAACAGAGAGGTGAGGGGGAGAGGATTGGACAATGAAGTCAGCACAGCACTGTGATCACCCAAGGCTGATATGCCCAAAACAATCTGCCTTGCTTCAGAAACAAGTCTGTCATAAAATTGGCTCAACTGCAGTGCGTAGGATCCTGAAGTTCCTTTTGTTTATGTTGAATTTGTTATTAAGTCTTGTTTTAATAATGCTGAACTGGTTGTTTTTTATTACCCTGATTATACATTTTACTCTGCATTTGGATAAAGATAATACATCAGTTTTATAACCTTGTGTCAATATAAATTATTCATGATAAATATTCCCCTTCTCACTTTTTTTCTGCAGGAGTAATCTTTTCCCTGCAGTTTGGGGTCATGTATATGAGTGGTTTGTACAGAACTGAACCATGAAACCAAATTTTGAACAAATCACATTTATTTGCTAAACTCCATACCTATCTAAAATATGAATTTTTTAACCAAATTAAAAGATTAAAGATTTGAAAATGTATAAACACAGTCTGTCTTAGAACTTAATGCTATTCATCATAGATAAACTCAGATCACCCAAATATTCCCCAAAGCAAATCTGAATCATACCTTTAATTAATCACAATTTTTTCTGACTGATTTTTTTAATTGCTTTTTATACAGTTGTTTCTTTTAAGATATCATTTCAGTGAAATATTTAATAGTACTGAGTGAATATGGCAGAATCAGAGCTACAAACACATTTTGTTTAGTCTAATAGGACATGTTAAAAGACATTTTTGTATTTTCTCTATATGTGTCTGTAAAGGATTATTTTAATCAATTTCATTTTAATTTCTAGGTAGATATTTCCTCTCAAGTGTAGAAAACCTGAGTATTTTTTGGTTCCTCCTAATAATTTGCTTTTTCCTTAAAGTGAATCTTTCCTTCCTTGCAAGTCATGCTTGTAACTACTGGTGTTGACTTAACATTTATACATACCAAAATACATTTGTGTAGCTATAGTCAACATGATTTAATTTTCTGCTTATTGTAGTTAGCCTCAAAGAGACTGGAAAGAACCAAATAAATAAGTAGGTACATGCAACTATTTCCAGTCTTTTCCCCCTCTCTCTACCCTACAATAACCTTCACTGTCAAAGCCTAGCAAATCATCTTTAATGTTATGCCTCTTATTACTTTGTTTCAGTGCCAGGATTTTCTCCATTAAGAGCTAAATCTCTTCTGATACAAAATGAACAATTCTTTTTATTTGATCTTACAGAAATGAAAAGTTATGCCCATCATAATGACAACAGTAACATCAACAAAGTAACATTTGTACAACATTTATTATTTACAAAAAACTTCCTCAGCATTATTCCAGTTGAAATTTCAAAGCATGACCCACATGTTGGAACTTTGACTGGGTAAAAGGTACTAACCCATTGCAATCCTTTCATTCCCTAGCTTCCTAAGGCCCTTATGACCCAATGAAATCCCAGTCTTACACTTGGAGAGAATGTGAAGGGAGGAATGGGTTAGAAAGACATTGGAACTGGATTATGCTCTACTCTGAAAGCATGAAAACAATGTTAAAAGAGGAATTGAGGGCTGTGGTTTTCTTTAGTGTTGGGATCAGGTTTGCATTTGGCTCCTCTCTTTTCATGAGTATGTTGGACTTGTCAATATTGTTCTTGTTCTATACCTACTTTTGTGATTACAAAGCTGAGAATTATTGTACTAAAACCAGTTGTCAACCATGTATCAACAAACTTAGGTTATTCCTTTATGAATTAATTTTATGCATTACCAACATATCTAAACTGCTTAAAGAAAAAATGATTGACATTTCACAGTGAGCCATAAAATAGCACTTAATGAAATTTCCTGCCCAGATTGAAATATAATTTGGAAGAGTGGCCATAAATAAACAGGAGAGATCACTATGGGCAATTTCAAGTTTGTTTATTTGCGTAAGGAGAAAAAACAATATCTCAATAGAGACTAGAACTTAAGGGAAAACATAAATCATCTTGTTGAAAAACAAATATTTGTGGATCCTGATGTTTATAAAATTGGGGAGCCTTAATTAATAAAAAATATAAAATTATGATTATAAAATTAGGTACAAAAGTTCATATTCACTATGAACTCTGGTGATAATGATGTGTCAAGGTAGGTTCATCATTTGTAACAAATGTACCACTCTAGTGGGGGATGTTGAAAATGGAGGAGGCTCTGGGGCCCAGGAGAGGGAGAGAGTGGGAAATAAATGAGAAATCTCTGAACCTTCCACTCTATTTTGCTGTGAACCTAAATCTGCTCTAAAGAAAGTCTACTAAAAAATAGCTAATATTGGGCTTCCCTGGTGGCGCAATGGTTGAGAGTCCACCTGCCGATGCAGGGGACACAGGTTCGTGCCCTGGTCTGGGAAGATCCCACATGTCGCGGAGCTGCTGGGCCCGTGAGCCATGGCCGATGAGCCTGCACCTCTGGAGCCTGTGCCTCCAGAGCCTGTGCTCCGCAATGGGAGAGGCCACAACAGTGAGAGGCCCGCGTACCACAAAAAATAAAGAAAAGCTAATATTTATAATAATTATAATTGCTATAGGTTTGTGTTCTACAAACAAAAGAATTCTCATAAATTCTATTTCTGCATGATTTCCATCAGGATTCTTTTTAATATGGTAACATTTACAATTGTATAAACTGCATATTGAATATATTTCTACTGAGAGAGATTTTTCCTTTTTGACAAGGCTCAATGACAACCAAATTCTCTGCTTACAATTTTAACATCTCATGAGTGGAAGAATTTTCCACAGAGTAGTTTCTGACTCTGTACGTTTCAAACAATATTTCTCCTCTATTACCTACATACTTCAGGTACCAGGCCTAGTGGAATATATTCATATCATGAATCAAGATGTATCACTCTTTCATGTTGCAATGCTCAGTAAGTTTGCCCCAGGGGTAGAGGTGGAAGAAGTATTCCTGGAGGTGCTATAACAACTATACACAGAAGTAACTGTAAACTACATAAAAACATCACCCTAGCTCCAAAATGAATGTATCCCCTTACTTTCGAATATACAGATTATTATAAGGAAGAAAATCAGTCATTCAACATTTAACATTCATTGAAATCACATATACTATTAGCGAGGGTGGGGAGCACAGGAATGTTTAAGACAGGGTCTCTGACCTCTGGAAACTTGCCTACAGTCTAATGAGAAGGGCACACTTTTTTCAATAAGTAACAAAAACCAGAGGAAGGAATTGATAAATGCTGTAAGGAATATACAAATAAAATTATTTCCAGGTTCATAGGAAAGAGTCCTTTCTTTTGGCAGAGAGAATCAGAAGGCTTCAAGGACGAGGTGGCAATTGAGCTAGGTCTCGAAACTTAAATAGAAATTGAAGGAAAAAATCCAGGTGGAATCAGCTCAGAGAACATTTGAAGAATAGCAT